CATGACAAAAGCTGAGCGGTTCCCGTGAGCAGATGCTGAGAGGACGGGAAAGATCATGATAACAGAGCTCATCTCATTCGGCTGAACCGACCCTCTGTGTGCAGAAGCACAGCAAACCCACACACACACACACACACACACACACAGACAGCAGCAGGACATGCGGCCTGGACCACCAGTGTACAGGGCAAACACCTTTAAAGTCCCCCTGTAGTCAAATATTTTATCCCTTAAAACTTATCTTTGATCATCAAAATGACATATTTAAAAGTTTTTTCTTGTGAAAATAATTTTCTCATTCCTTAAAATAGCTTGAATGTAACTCTACACCCTTGCCTCATTTCCTATACGCGGATCTATGAATATGCAAATGAGTCCCGCCTCCACTCAGTCACACACCAGCCAGCGCCTCCTGATCCACTGAAATGAAGTAACCGCAAAACAATGGCATACACAGATAATGACTGATAAAACTATCTTTTTACTAGCGGACAACTACAGTGAATACTGTAACATTCGTTAAAGTTACTTACTTGACGATGTTGTGTCCTAAAACACCTTGAAGACTGGAATGCAGCCGTTTGTGATTGTTAATTCGCGCCCGTGAGCATATGCGTGTGGGAGAGGTGCGTCTGACACCGGGCTACTTTTACACTGTTGCCACGGGTTATAATGCAAGTTAGCGGTTCTAAATTCACATTAAACCACAGCTTCATGGGTTTTTTGCTCTGATTTATTTTTGGTTTTGTGCTGGTATTGGTATATTTTGCATGCTAGTGATAGGAATCGATCCCTTGACGTGATTGGTTATTGGTTTGTGACGTAACAACCCGAGGGCTGTTTCAAACCGCATTTCTGGGTCAGCCTTTGGGAAACTACAGTTTTAAGGAGAAAATACTCAGCAATGGTGTTGATTAATAGATTGGCACATGGTTTGTCTAAAGGCATATTAAAAACAACACATAGACAAATAAACAACATAAAAATTTGATTTTCACTACAGGGGTCTTTAAGAGAAAGTCTTCAAATATTTGAGCCTGTGTGTTTCTGTGTGCTGTAACACGGATGTGTTCAGCACAGTTCATCACAGCTGGGCGGTTATGAAATTCACAAACTATCATCTTTCAGAGGGATATATACATATATATTTGGGTTTAGTATATATTAGGGATGCATCAGTATGGTTGACTTGTCAACTAATCATCCACCAACCAAGTAAATGAGCAAGTTTTATATTTAGTTTTTAGTTTTACAGTTTTTCTGGATTGCTAACACACTATAACTGATTCATTTGGCCCAATTTCCCAAATCATTCACTCAGTTCTCGAAACAAAGACACATTTCTCAAAACTTTTAACACATTTCACCTGTTTTCACACACAATTTGCTCAGCGTTTTCTGCAATACTCTACTCAGAAAAAAACTTCATTTTGTACAGGTTTGACCAGTTTCTCATTCAGAAAACACAAACACACAATATAATTACCTCATGCATCACAAGATGAACTCAAACAGCACACATTTATCCATATGTGAACATTCAGTAGCAAAACTGATGACACAGCAGTCAGAATCTCAGGATGATATGAACAGGGTCACATGTGATTGTGTGCTTTAGAAGATGAATCCTACCAGTATGGTTGACTTGTCAACTAATCATCCACCAACCAAGTAAATGAGCAAGTTTTATATTTAGTTTTTAGTTTTACAGTTTTTCTGGATTGCTAACACACTATAACTGATTCATTTGGCCCAATTTCCCAAATCATTCACTCAGTTCTCGAAACAAAGACACATTTCTCAAAACTTTTAACACATTTCACCTGTTTTCACACACAATTTGCTCAGCGTTTTCTGCAATACTCTACTCAGAAAAAAACTTCATTTTGTACAGGTTTGACCAGTTTCTCATTCAGAAAACACAAACACACAATATAATTACCTCACGCATCACAAGATGAACTCAAACAGCGCACATTTATCCATGTGTGAACATTCAGTAGCAAAACTGATGACACAGCAGTCAGAATCTCAGGATGATATGAACAGGGTCACATGTGATTGTGTGCTTTAGAAGATGAATCCTACTGGTGGGAGACAAAGAGGAAGAGGAAGAGGAAGAGGAAGGGGACGGGGTCAAAGGTCATTTGCTCCTGATGCACTCTAGCTGACCATGTTCTTCATGACAGGCACATCTACAGGGTTTCTACACTACTTACACACCCAGTACTTATAGTACAGAACAGCAGCAGTACTTCAGATGAGAGAACTTTCACTGTGTACTGTAAATACTGCAGCACATGTTATACACCCTCAGACTCAGGATGAGCTCCTCTCCCTTACGTGATGCCACAACCGATGATAAACGACTGTCTCGGGGAGCTACAGAAGACTGAGAAACTCTCATAGTATGGCAGAGTATTTTTTACTGTACAGTAATTGACAGTATACAGTATTGTGTGTTCATATTCAATTCTATGTTATTTGAACTGATCTTTTCTAGTACTTTTCATCTACTGTAAGATCTCTTTACAGTAGTCTCATGATAATGAACTTTTCTTGAATTTCACAGTATCTGCACCTCTATTTATGCTGCACACTGTAGTAGACATTGAGTTGCAGAATGATTCCTGATTCCCCAAAGGAGGTTTTTGTAGCAGTGTTTTGAACTGATCTCACTAGTGTTCTCCAGGCAGTGCAGTAGTCTGAGGCCAGAGATTAGATTCTGATGAGAGAGAACATGTCTGAAGTGTGTACAAGCTGGTGTGTAGTTTTGAGGTTGTGTTTATAGTTGTGAGAAAATGGTGAATTGTTTCATGAATTGTGTTAGCAATCGAGAAAAACTGTGATCTCTGTTCACGGTGAGTGTGCATTAGCTTTTGGGATCTCGTAGAGCATTTGGACCTGGAAACGGTGACATGTGACCTTACCATGAAATCAAAACGGAAAGCTTTCATTTTTAAAAGGAATATTGCAGTGATGATTTTAAATGATTTGTCCATGCACAGCTTTATGTTTTTGAATTCACATATAAATGTCAATCAAAACATGAACTTCCCTCCCCATGAACTTCCATAATATGACAATAACTCGACAATAATCCTCCAGCAGCCTGTGACTCACATGAGATCACAGCAGCTAGCAAACCTTCCAATCAACTCCAAGCCATTTCACTCAGATATGCATCACAACAGGGAAGAAAAGATGATCTGTTTCATGTCAACTTTACAGAGCAGATAAAGCACTGCGACTGCAGCCAAAGCACAGATTCACTGCCTTCAACTACCTCCTCCATCAGCTGGTCATTCAGTGCGCTCCTGTACAGCTGAGCGTGACACAAGGGCTCGATCTGAAGTCCCTTTGGGTAAAACATCTGCCAAATGTTCACATGACCCACTTGATCGTGTAGTTTCACACATTTCTAATATATGTGCAATGATATAACACAATGTTATATCCAAGATGGCGTCGTTCCATGGCGACATGGTGTTGCTCTCTTCTTAGTGCCAAAAAAGTCGTATATCAGTTGCTTAGATGATTACAGACCAGTGGCCCTAACTTCAGTTGCTATGAAAATCTTTGAGCGACTGCTGCTTAGGTATCTAATTTCTAAAATCTGTTTGGATTATAGGTCGGTTGATGATGCTGTGGCTCTGCGTCTCCATTCAATTTTCAAACACCTTCAAGCCCTCAATACTTATGTTAGAGTTATTTTTGTGGACTATAAATCTGCATTTAATACAATTATTCCAGTTAAACGTTTTGATAAGTTAAAGCAATTTGGGATTCAACACTCCCTTGCTCTTTGGATTTGGGATTTTTTGCAGAACAAGAATGTGTACTGTCACCATTATTGTACTCTGTGTCCACTAATGATTGTGTTGCACATTGTAAATCAGTGCAGATTTTAAAGTTTGCAGATGATACTACATTGATTGGTTTAATAACAGAAAATAACGAATCGGACTATAGAAGGGAGGTTTCTACACTGTTTGAATGGAGTTGCACTCATAATCTGAAGACGAATGTCCTAAAAACAAAGGAAATGGTATTTGATTTCTGGATTTTTTGCAGAACAAGAATGTGTACTGTCACCATTATTGTACTCTGTGTACACTAATGATTGTGTTGCACATTGTAAATCAGTGCAGATTTTAAAGTTTGCAGATGATACTACATTGATTGGTTTAATAACAGAAAATAACGAATCGGACTATAGAAGGGAGGTTTCTACACTGTTTGAATGGAGTTGCACTGAATCTGAAGACGAATGTCCTAAAAACAAAGGAAATGGTATTTGATTTCGACAGAGAACAAATGCCGTCTTGCCATTGACTAATAATGGTCAGGACATTGAAAATGTTCAATGTTTTAAGTTTCTCGGGATGTATTGTACCATCTCTACAATGTTAAAGTGGAACGACAACCAAAGAGGCATTATTAAAAAATCCCATTAAAGGCTTTTCTCTTAAAACAGCTTTAAAAGTTTGGCGTATCTAAAGTTGGTATGTTCAATTTTTATAGAGCGGTCATTGAAAGCATGCTGACTTTCTCACTTATAGTGTGGTTTGGTAGCTCCACAGCTCAGCAGAGAAGTCAGATTTGTAATATTACTCTGGCTGCTTCGAAAATTATTGGTTGTGATCTTCCCACTATTGATGAGCTCTATGTCTCACGTTTGCAGAAAAAAGGTCTAACAATCCTGAAAGATCCCTTACATCCAGCTAGACACCTCTTTACGCCTCTTCCTTCAGGCAGACGCCTCCGAGCAATTAAAACTAAGGCTACACGTTTTCTGAACAGTACTTATTGTAGGATTGTTCATGCTCTTAATTCCTCTGGTGTCTATGCATCTGCATTTCACTCCTTATAACTGATAGGACATACATGTATTTTTGCATTTATGTATGTATTTTAATGTATGTTGATGAGCTCACCAATCAAATTCCAAACAACTAGGGTGTTTGGCAATAAATAAATGCTATATTAATGTATCTCACCTTTCGCAGTCGGCCCCAGTTGGTCCCCAGGAACACGACGGTGCGGTTGTGGACGTTGTCAACAGCAATAGAGCTGAGGCCCGGGGCCTCATAGATGGGTGGGGCCCTCAGGGGCTTCCTCAGGGCCAGCGGGTGCTGGAGGTGAGCGGCCCCACAGTTCAGCTGCTCCTCCTGAAGCTGAAACACAGAACACGCAGAAGTGAGGGACATGACCGCTGCCTCTGATTACTGAGGGTCAGGGGTTATTCAGATCCCTAAATGCCTGTCAAAGTAAACACCACTAATAAGAGAATGATCGAAACTGATGAGCGATGCGGCTGTCTTTAGCCTTTAGCACGCTGATGAATGTATTGTTGAATCAGACGGGTTCTGCTGCCACATTCACACGTCTGTTTTCATGAGGTTCAGGGCAGGGTGATGGGAACTCAAGCGGGGGAGAGCAAGAATTTCTCACGAGTTTCTCCCCCTCAGCGCTGTGACCTCCTGCGCTCCTGCAATCTATCAGATCCGCCACAGACACTGATGCGAACACTGGAGCGCTGCTCAAAACCAAAACACGGCCGTGATGTGACGTCATTAGACTCTGAGCAATGAAAACACGGCTGGAGGAGGCCTGAGAGCGGCCTGAGTTACGTAAAAAGAGCTGCACGAGAAAAAAGGCAACAGCACAAAAGCTACGCTAAATAATCACCAGACTGCCACATGCTTCTTATAAAACATCATGTTCACATAATAAAAACAGCATGTTTCCAGAAACCAGCTGCTCCAGGATCTGTTCTGTGGCCGCTTGCTGCAAAAGCTGAAGATTTTTCACATTAGGTGAAATTCCCATCAGATGTACATGTGACATCTGAGCTGTACAGTATTATCAGTCATACATTAAAACAAGCCGGATTACGCTGATCTGAACCACAGTCTGTCATGAAGCTGGAAACAGACTGTAACACAATCACACACTCACCAAATTCACTTCTATAGCTGCTAAAACAGTGAGATGATCCAAAAGACATTGGCCACAGCAGTCAAAGCTTTTCATTCTGCTCTACACATCATACTGATGCGCAATATCAGTGTCACAGTGATTTAATAGAGTGCTGTTTACTCTAGTATTACTTCACAGTCATAATTCATAGATCATTAGTCGTGTACATGTTGAACAGGGTGAGCTATACAAAAGTAGGAGTTTTAGTAGATTTGAGATGAAGCACTAATGAAAGACACTGAGATTATTATGATGTCCTCCTAAATGTAAAACAATGTGTGTTTTATTTGACAGATGTGGACAGTGTTTGAAAGATTACAGCAAATATGCCGGCTGCAATCTGAATAGCACTATAATTTTGCAGAATTAAGTTTATAACCCAAATAAAAATGACCAGAAGCTATAGCTTTAGTTGCATTTTCCGAAACTCCACACAATGTCCTGGGCATAAAACAAATAATAACTCGATCCTATCGATTATGTCAGGTAAACAAAAACAGTTTCTCAATGGCATTTGTGGCAGGTATTAATTCTTATATATTTTTTTTGACTAACTCTTGATATTTAAAGGGCATTCAATCGTGACATTTACGTTTAAATGTTGACATCACTGAATTCAATGATGAACTGTCTTTAACTGAAAAATGTGTTTACTATTGTCATTTTGCATTATTGACACTATTTTCCTAATTAATGCTGTTCAGTTGCTTTGTCACAATCTGTATTGTTAAAAGTGCTATATAAATAAAGGTGACTTGACTTGACTTAAATCCACAAGAAAGGAAGTTTTATTTGATGTGCTGTAACTGGCCGCTATTTGTAGTCTCCTTTTTACTCTCGACAGTTACAATGTTAAAGTGGCACTGCAATTCATTTTAAAGGTGCAAATATTCCACGCATTCTCGTAATATAATTATGCTCATTATTGGTCAATGCATTGATAGCTTTAAATGACGTGTCTTCATAATCTGAGTTCAGGCATGAAGTTTCATCTTTGTTTTATCATTACCAAGTCATGAAAGTTGTTGTAAGAGTCGCGCGCTCTCACCTTGATGGCCCCCTTGCGCTCGCACTCGGCCCCGGAGCCCTGGATGACGCTGTCCAGGACCTGCACGTCGCTGTTCGGCCCGCTGGAGCAGTTGCGGCGGCCCTGGCGGATCATCTCCTCCACAGCCGCCACGCGGAAGGCGCACACGGCCGACTGACCGCCCGCCCGCGCGAACACCCCGAACAGATAGGGCTCCGTGCCCGCCGCGCGCTGCGCGCTGATGTCCACGGGGTAGATGGAGAGCAGGCGGTTGTAGATATTCCCGTTGGATCCGCACTGAATGCCCATCTGGATGTAGGACTCGGTGAGCTTGCGGCTCTCCGCGGACCTGCGGGGATCGTCCGTGTCCAGACAGATGCGCGCCAGGATGCTGTTGGGCTGGCTCTCCTTCAGACCCGTGTTGGCGTCGTTGTTGATGGCGATGTACGAGTAGCTCTTGTGCACGAAGGCGTGCACGAAGTTGAGCTTGTTCTTCTGCTTGACCTCCTGCTTGATCTTGAACACGTTGTCCTCGGACGGGTTGATGTCGTAGGTGAAGAGCCGGCCGAGGTCTTTGGTGTTGAGCGAGCGGATGGCGATCTCGGGCGTGTTCTCGAAGCGCAGGTCCTCTTTGCTGTGGTTCTTGGGGAAATACTCGGTCCCCATGCCCGTGTACGTGGCTCCCACCAGCAGCCGCGGCGCGCCGCCGTGACTCCGAAAGACGAGCCCGACGGTGCTCGCCTTCTCGTGGTTGGCCACAATGTTGAGCATGCTCGGGAACACGGTGGCCCCGTCCTGCGGGAACTTGACGGCCACCCGGGACACGTTGTCCATGCTGCGCAGCTCGCAGAAGCCCTGGTACACCGAGCCGCAGGCCAGCAGCACGCCCTGCTCGCGGTCCAGCGCGAGGAGCTTGTTGTGGTTGTCGGTGAGCGTCTTCTGGTGCTCGCACGTCGCCTGCGGCAGCTGCGGCGCGTGGCACAGCGGGTTGTCCAGCACCGGTCCCGTGCGCGTCTCCACCTCCCTGGCGAGCGTGGCGTTCAGCTGGTACAGGCTGTTGACCGCGGCCAGGTAAACGCGACGCGACACCGCGTCCACCACGAAGTTATTGGTGCGGCTGGGAGACGCGAACGCCTGTTGAATCTGGAGCGCGGCGGCCGTGCGCGCTTGGAGAGCCGTTAGAAACACGGCGAAAACCGTCGCTAAGAGCCCGAGAGAGGATCTGTTCGCTGTAGAAGGAGGCATTTTTCCTTCTGGCTGGCTTCCGCGGGTTCTGGACGGAGAGGCGCATTGAGCCAGCGGAAAAGAGCGCAACTATCCGGGAGGAAAGACCGTTTCCTGCCGAACGCCCGAGCACCGAATGACGCGACGAGGCGCCTCCGCTTCCTCATAGAAACTCTCGTCTCTCTGGAGATCTGTCCGTGTGATAGCCTCAGCATTACGTCTGGTAATTACCCGTGAAAAAGAAATATAGAATATACTTTAGAGAATATACCGCGACAGGACTAACTGTTAAAAAAAACAATTCAATTAAATAGATAAAAAAGAAAAAAGCTGTAATTATAAACAGCGTTAGGACTTGATCAAAAGTCCTTCATGAGAAAAGAAATGTGCAACTTTGGAATGTGCAGTGATGCTCTCATGAAGTTGGATGAGAAGTTCACGGGTCCAGAAAAGCTTTTGCTCACTTTGTGTTTTGATTTTTAAAAAATGTGGAAACAGTAATAATAGGTTTGTCCAAATGGCACATAGTGTTAAAACAGTGTACCAAATTGATTGTGGTATTTATAAGGTACTGTTTGCCATACACGTTAGAACAACATGCTTATAATATTGTTTAATCACAAATTTTTTTTAACTGAATAACAATCATGATATTTTCACTTTCACACTCCATCTATTACATTGTGCTCTTCAACAATGGATAGCAGTCAACCAGTGCATTTGTCTAGTTGATGGTAAAACAGCAGTGTTCATCTAACAGCAAAAGAACAGCAGTCACAGAGATGCACACTAAAGGTCGACTGTCTCAAAATGACTGCAAATCAACTGTAACAGGTATCAGAACTGCTTCTGATTTGATTGTGTGTGTGTGTGTGTGTGTGAGAGAGAGAGAGAGAGAGAGAGAGAGAGAGAGAGAGAGAGAGAGAGAGAGAGAGAGAGAGAGAGAGAGAGAGAGAGAGAGAGAGAGAGAGAGAGAGAGAGAGAGAGAGAGAGAGAGAGAGAGAGAGAGAGAGAGAGAGAGAGAGAGAGAGAGAGAGAGAGAGAGAGAGAGAGAGAGAGAGAGAGAGAGAGAGAGAGAGAGAGAGAGAGAGAGAGAGAGAGAGAGAGAGAGAGAGAGAGAGAGAGAGAGAGAGAGAGAGAGAGAGAGAGAGAGAGAGAGAGAGAGAGAGAGAGAGAGAGAGAGAGAGAGAGAGAGAGAGAGAGAGAGAGAGAGAGAGAGAGAGAGAGAGAGAGAGAGAGAGAGAGAGAGAGAGAGAGAGAGAGAGAGAGAGAGAGAGAGAGAGAGAGAGAGAGAGAGAGAGAGAGAGAGAGAGAGAGAGAGAGAGAGAGAGAGAGAGAGAGAGAGAGAGAGAGAGAGAGAGAGAGAGAGAGAGAGAGAGAGAGAGAGAGAGAGAGAGAGAGAGAGAGAGAGAGAGAGAGAGAGAGAGAGAGAGAGAGAGAGAGAGAGAGAGAGAGAGAGAGAGAGAGAGAGAGAGAGAGAGAGAGAGAGAGAGAGAGAGAGAGAGAGAGAGAGAGAGAGAGAGAGAGAGAGAGAGAGAGAGAGAGAGAGAGAGAGAGAGAGAGAGAGAGAGAGAGAGAGAGAGAGAGAGAGAGAGAGAGAGAGAGAGAGAGAGAGAGAGAGAGAGAGAGAGAGAGAGAGAGAGAGAGAGAGAGAGAGAGAGAGAGAGAGAGAGAGAGAGAGAGAGAGAGAGAGAGAGAGAGAGAGAGAGAGAGAGAGAGAGAGAGAGAGAGAGAGAGAGAGAGAGAGAGAGAGAGAGAGAGAGAGAGAGAGAGAGAGAGAGAGAGAGAGAGAGAGAGAGAGAGAGAGAGAGAGAGAGAGAGAGAGAGAGAGAGAGAGAGAGAGAGAGAGAGAGAGAGAGAGAGAGAGAGAGAGAGAGAGAGAGAGAGAGAGAGAGAGAGAGAGAGAGAGAGAGAGAGAGAGAGAGAGAGAGAGAGAGAGAGAGAGAGAGAGAGAGAGAGAGAGAGAGAGAGAGAGAGAGAGAGAGAGAGAGAGAGAGAGAGAGAGAGAGAGAGAGAGAGAGAGAGAGAGAGAGAGAGAGAGAGAGAGAGAGAGAGAGAGAGAGAGAGAGAGAGAGAGAGAGAGAGAGAGAGAGAGAGAGAGAGAGAGAGAGAGAGAGAGAGAGAGAGAGAGAGAGAGAGAGAGAGAGAGAGAGAGAGAGAGAGAGAGAGAGAGAGAGAGAGAGAGAGAGAGAGAGAGAGAGAGAGAGAGAGAGAGAGAGAGAGAGAGAGAGAGAGAGAGAGAGAGAGAGAGAGAGAGAGAGAGAGAGAGAGAGAGAGAGAGAGAGAGAGAGAGAGAGAGAGAGAGAGAGAGAGAGAGAGAGAGAGAGAGAGAGAGAGAGAGAGAGAGAGAGAGAGAGAGAGAGAGAGAGAGAGAGAGAGAGAGAGAGAGAGAGAGAGAGAGAGAGAGAGAGAGAGAGAGAGAGAGAGAGAGAGAGAGAGAGAGAGAGAGAGAGAGAGAGAGAGAGAGAGAGAGAGAGAGAGAGAGAGAGAGAGAGAGAGAGAGAGAGAGAGAGAGAGAGAGAGAGAGAGAGAGAGAGAGAGAGAGAGAGAGAGAGAGAGAGAGAGAGAGAGAGAGAGAGAGAGAGAGAGAGAGAGAGAGAGAGAGAGAGAGAGAGAGAGAGAGAGAGAGAGAGAGAGAGAGAGAGAGAGAGAGAGAGAGAGAGAGAGAGAGAGAGAGAGAGAGAGAGAGAGAGAGAGAGAGAGAGAGAGAGAGAGAGAGAGAGAGAGAGAGAGAGAGAGAGAGAGAGAGAGAGAGAGAGAGAGAGAGAGAGAGAGAGAGAGAGAGAGAGAGAGAGAGAGAGAGAGAGAGAGAGAGAGAGAGAGAGAGAGAGAGAGAGAGAGAGAGAGAGAGAGAGAGAGAGAGAGAGAGAGAGAGAGAGAGAGAGAGAGAGAGAGAGAGAGAGAGAGAGAGAGAGAGAGAGAGAGAGAGAGAGAGAGAGAGAGAGAGAGAGAGAGAGAGAGAGAGAGAGAGAGAGAGAGAGAGAGAGAGAGAGAGAGAGAGAGAGAGAGAGAGAGAGAGAGAGAGAGAGAGAGAGAGAGAGAGAGAGAGAGAGAGAGAGAGAGAGAGAGAGAGAGAGAGAGAGAGAGAGAGAGAGAGAGAGAGAGAGAGAGAGAGAGAGAGAGAGAGAGAGAGAGAGAGAGAGAGAGAGAGAGAGAGAGAGAGAGAGAGAGAGAGAGAGAGAGAGAGAGAGAGAGAGAGAGAGAGAGAGAGAGAGAGAGAGAGAGAGAGAGAGAGAGAGAGAGAGAGAGAGAGAGAGAGAGAGAGAGAGAGAGAGAGAGAGAGAGAGAGAGAGAGAGAGAGAGAGAGAGAGAGAGAGAGAGAGAGAGAGAGAGAGAGAGAGAGAGAGAGAGAGAGAGAGAGAGAGAGAGAGAGAGAGAGAGAGAGAGAGAGAGAGAGAGAGAGAGAGAGAGAGAGAGAGAGAGAGAGAGAGAGAGAGAGAGAGAGAGAGAGAGAGAGAGAGAGAGAGAGAGAGAGAGAGAGAGAGAGAGAGAGAGAGAGAGAGAGAGCGTGTGTGTGTGTGTGTGTGAGTGTGAGTGTATGTGTGTGTGTGTGTGTGTGTGTGTGTGTGTGTGTGTGGTTTGACTAAACTTGCGATGTCCAAAGTGCCCTCACTAATATAGGGAAACCTGTTGAACACAGACTATTGAACTGGACCTCACTAGTTAAAATTTCTCATGAATTGGCCAAATCATGTTTTTCTATTTAAATGTGGTGTTTTGCACAGGTTTGGGCTATTTTCGAGATTGGTTAGGACATAAACATCATTATCCTGATATAAAATGTCTGTGAGATGAGCTTATAGTCAAACAAAGCTGTGTGTATCTTTCCTGTACAGGTTCATCTGTCAAACAGAACCTCGGGGGTTATTTGATTCTAAATGCTTTTCTAAAAGCTTGGCATAAAGCATGTTTTAACATTGGCAAAGGAGAACTTTGAAAGTTTGTGGTTGTATTGTAAGTACAGCGCAGCAGTCGGTGTGTAAGTGAGTTAATGGCTGGCACTGAACTTTCACCTGGTCCTCATGTTTCTTTATCTTTCCAATTAGTCACGCAGATCTAAGTCCTGAGTCCTGTGATCCGCAGCATACGGCAGAGCAAGACAAGCGCAAGTGCTGCCATATGTGCCATACACAGCTCCTTACACAGACTCCAGCGTGTGTTCACTCTCATTCATATTTAACAGGCAGCAGGACTCTGAATAATTGAGTATGAAAAACTATATCCATAACATGCCTCTACCAGTGACTGTGTGCTCTCTCTCTCTCTCTCTCTCTCTCTCTCACACACACACACACACACACACACACACACACTCACACTCACACACACACACACACACACACACACATTCTCTCACACACACACACACACACAGGGCTGTATGGGGCTCTCGTTTCTAATCATTACTAATTATTGCATTGAAAAGGATTTTTTTTTTTTTCAGAATCAGTTTTTAGAAAGATTTTTTGGCAAGTCGAGCAAAGCACACAAAGCTTATTATCCAGAATAAACAATTACCAAAAACAGAATTAGTGATAATAACTATCCCAATAAATAAATGATAGACTAAAATATACATGTTTTTTGCTTTCATCCAGAGCATCTCATATGAGAGCATGTACAGCCATTCTGAAGACGAAACTCCTCCAGCACAATACACTCAGACACAATACAGTCCAAATAAATAAGGCAGCCAGAAGATGAGGACATGAACTGATACGACTTCTACAGGAGCAAACCTTCGTGATTAAGAGCTTGGGATTTTAAAGATCACTTCATGGGGACTGCACTCACAAAGTAAACTCTGTCTTTTAAGAAATACCAGTTTTAGACGTTAATGGCATTTTCATGGTTTGCCACGGTGAGCTGCTGACTGAAGAAACAGCAGCTGTAGTGTCTGTTATTCACAGGAAATGACCATTATAATCAAACCCGACAGAGCTCAGAGTGGCTGAGAAACCCGTCAGGAGAAATCAGGCTGTGCTGTGAAGAAAAAGGGACAGAAAGGCCTCCTCTTCCGGCCGGCCGAGCAGCTGCTTCCGGTCAGATAACGCCCCGCGGTCACGCGCCTGCAGGTTCAGTCATGACTCCAGTCAAACTAAATCTTCATCACATTCATTAGAATAGAATTCACAATGCGCAAATCACTGTCGGAGAGATCGACTTTTGAAAAATAATTAAAGTCTACTCTTGTTGTCGGAGAGCAATAATAAAAAACAAACTTA